GGAGCTCAAATTGTGCTCTAAATGCTTCCCATGGTGCCTTCCCATCGAATTACTGGAAGGGGCTTCCTGTTGTCTGGGGCTGATTAGGTCCATGGCTAATATATCCCCCTGTGTAAAAGACAGTAAATCATCATTTAATGAATTTAATTCACTTTGAAATTTACTAGTGTTTTCCATTTGTACTTCTTTCCACCGTTGTTGACTTTCCTGTAGTTGCTGCTGACTTTGTCACAACTGTTGGAGACTTTCTTCCCGTTTCCTTTCTTGTTCCAGTTGCCACTGCTGTAGTCTCTCTTCTTGTTTCTTTTCTTTCTCCTCCATCCACTGCTGTAGTCTCTTTTCTTGTTTATTTTCTTTCTCCTTCAACGACTGCTGTAGCCTCTGTTCTTGTTTCTTTCCCTTTCCTCCAACAACTGCTGTAATCTCTCGTTTATTTTTCTGTTCGAGCTGCTACTGTTTCAGGTTTTCTTGCCACTGCTTTTGTCTCTCTTCTTTCTCCTCCAACCACTGCTGTAGACTCTCTTATTGTTTATTTTCTTTCTCCTCCAACCACTACTGTAGTTTCTCTTCTTGTTTCTTTTGCTGTTCTTGTATTGCTGCCATCAAATCTGCTAAGTTGTAGTTTGATTTGCCACCTCTGGTTTCCATTTTTTATTCCTTCGCACTATCTGACACCAATTTATTAGGTATCTGCTTGTTTGATAATTTCCCGTAAAAATTATTCCCGAGGAACTTCAGTGATACAAGTTCTTTTTTAATTAAAACTAGTTTATTCTTTCTCATTATAAACTTTATAATACACTTAATTTCCACAGTCACTTTATCTTAAATATACGCTTTAATTCACAACGATTCACGCACTTTATTTACGGTCACTAACGCTCACTTGACTCGATTATCTGTCTCTATATCTCCCTGTCTGCCGTTCTATGCCGTCACTTCTTCTCCGCTTTATTTTACGGGCATATATACAAAAATAGAGGGCGTCTAGCAAATACTGGGATATTCGTGATGTTCCCTGATCCTTCTAGAAACACATCACATTACCAGAGTCACATGACTTCTGCTATCGTAACAGTGTTTGGTACAAGTCATGTGACTCGGATTCGTATCTTTCATTGGTTAACGCCTAACACTGATAACACACCACAAAATTGATTTGAGCATACCCTGGGGAAACTTAACCCCCTGTTTTCTTGTAAAATAACACCTTTCCGTCGGGCCAACAAGCTGGATATTACTTTTTCAAGTCAAAACTATATATTTATGTGCTCAAACTAAAGCTGCAGTGGGTATGCAACGAAAGAGCGGAATTGAGCCATTCAGGCGATGAGCTATAATTGTAGAATAGTAAATTCTTAAACAGTAGCAAGTAGAATAATAAATGTAAACTTGGTGTATCCGATGTTTTATTTGATAGTCTTTGAATATATTTTGGATCATGCAGATTGAAATATGCCAAAAGTACACAGTTTTTGAGTACCATCTGAACGTTACTCCAGTACAAGGCACAGTTATAATGCATGAAAATGCTGTCGTTAATGAATTGTTTGTTTGTAATTAAGCACAACGCTACTCAATGGACTATCTGTGCTCTGCCCACCACGGGTATCGAAACCGGATTCTAGCATTTTAAGTCCGCAGACATGCCGCTGGGCCACTGGGGGGCCGTTAATGAATTTCTATCGTCAGAAAAGCGAGGTTACCTGCACATAATTCTATCTATTTTGGTAATTTGTAGGTGCCTGACACTGCAGTCTCATCCACAATGTCTTTCCTGCCAGATCTGGGCTCTATGTTGTATAACAATCAGAAAAATAGTGGAATGAACGTGAACCACTGTCATGCTTGTGATGACATTGGAGAGCACAGTTCGGGTGTGGATTAAGTACGAGATCCAAGAATACCTGCATCAGCTGAGCTGTTTGCAAGTATTAGAGATTGTACCTTTAATTCTGTAGACATTGTGCTTGACCACCAAGTTTATTTTACCTTTTCATCCTAAGGCAGAATATTTTTGTAACTGGGATTTTACGCCTTTAATCCACATTTTTGACTGAAGTTTTCTAATTAGATATTTTAATACTGCATTTTTAATCCTGACTTTTGCTACTTAAGCTCAAATTCATAATCCTTCTGTTAATCTTTTCAACCAGTCAGTTGTGGACATTATTCTCAATGTTGCTGTATCCTGTCTTGAATCTCTGCATGATGACAATGGAAGCTAACAGTAGTTTCTTATTTGATTTTACTAATGCTTTGAAGTTTCATGCATTATCCAAGGGCTAGTTTCACATTTATGTCTTTAGAGCTTTATCATGAATGAAAATGCATTGTTAGATGGCATATCAGACATGAGGAAGAAACTGTCACTGTCTGAGAGATGTTTCTGAGCATATTCTTCACTTGTTTGAGCTGATATATGGCAACAGTTATATCACATTAGTTGCCCTTGCAGAGAATAGAGGAATCAATGCCAAAGTTCACTCTCAGCGTTCTACACCACTACACCAACTGCTCACAAGCCATCTTTACCACAACAGACAGGCAACAAATAGTACAAGGTTCCTCTTTCAATCACATGGGGAAAGAGTGACTACCACTGAGACACGCAAGGTTTGATTTGAATTTTGTGCAAAGCTACACAAGGGCTATCTGCACTAGCTGCCCCTAATTTAGCAGTGAAACACTAGAGGGGAGGCAGCTAGTTATCACCACTCACTGATTGACCGTCACACTATAATGCCCCCATGGCTGAAAGGGCAAGCATGTTTAGTGGGACAGGGATTCGAACCCGCGACCTTCAGATTCCAAGTCGAGCACTCTAACCACCTGGCCATGCCAGACCAACATGCAAAGTTATAATAGCTTTTCTTTTGTAGATAAAAATGCTGTTGGGGGACAGAAATAAAGGCCGCTTATATTCGTTAAACCTTTATAGATAAAGCAGTGAACTCCCCCCAAAGTGGATATACTTTTAAGTGTTACATGTCTTTATCTATGTCTTGCCATTTCCTTAAATTTTACTCCTTCAAAGTTTTTGACAGGCCAAGTTCTCCTTCTAGCATAGGTTTAAACTTGCCATAAACGTATGTATTAATTCATACTATGTTTCCCACAAGTGTAAATTGTCTCATCAGAAAACAATTCCAATAAAGCCATTTTTTCTCATACCTAATATGTTAAAACAAGCTACAGTAAATGTAGAGTATACAACATGGCATTTTGTTATTGTTTATGATAGAGAACATGTTCAAAATTATGTACAGCTATTGGAACCACATTTCCATTCCATTTTATTGTTTTGTAGTCAGCCATTTCAGACTTTTACTGTCACCCACCCTTTATCTTTTCTGAAACATGATTATCAATGCATTTTTTTATTGAAAGGTTAAAATTATGTAGTACTTAACAGTGCAACCTATCACAGTATTAAAAATAATTAACACATCATACAGGGGTGGTTAATCATCTCTTTATTGAGGGATTTCTCAATGGTCAAGCACGAAAAGCATATTTCATCATATTTCCTTTAAAAATACAATATACTGTATTTCTGTTACATTACTAGAGTGTCATTCAGTACACTTAAAAGAAGCTTTTGTGATCTGGATGCACAGATTAGACCAAACTTATCTAAGTGTAATAAAACATGTTAAGTACATGGAAATATTAATTCTCTTATTGAAACACTTTACATGCAATACATGATAGTATTAGAAACATTTCACAAACACATTTACGTAAGAAAAAATATTAAACAAATATGTTCAATAATAATAATTTCACTAATCTATAACTTTTATTGCAAATGTTCCTACTAACTATTCATGATTAGTTGTTACTCCTGTTCTAAATACTTCCTGCACTGCTACTTGTCATACATAAATTATTTTTAGACTATAGAAGTTAGTTTAAAACCTGAACTTTCACAAAACTTGATCTTTGTATCTTCAAATGAAGATACCACTTTGAACATAGATATATTACAATATATATTTTTTTACTTTTGAAAATTATACTACTCACAATTCAGTACAAACAGAATCAAATTTTCCTAAATATTGACAACACTTGTACATCACTTACCTATTTTTTTCTGTTTCTTAAGACCCATAATTTCAGACTCAAGTGGCTTTATGCCATATTTCAAAACTGTTTGGGTGACTATGGTTATCTACCAAGATATAATGGTATTGACAGGTTTACTGATCATGAGAGTCTTATCAATAATAGCAAAAAAATTAACCAAACATCAACTGTAAGTTAATTTTTACAAATGAATAACAATCTGTAACTCTTTAGTTTCACTTGATTTTTACTTCTTTCTAAAACCTCCAGGATATAATTGGCTATACATCCAAATTAGTTGATATTGTACATTTATCTGAAATTGGAAAGTTTTTGAAAAACATACTTCATATCTGTCCAAGTGGATATTTTTTATCATCAGTAAAAACTTGACATTAACAACAAAGTGATTAATGTTTCAGGGCAAACTAGCATTTGGTACAAGTTTATTCAGAATATAGTGGTTATTTTTTAACAAACTTTGTGCTTTTACTGAAGTCTTCTCATGCAAAAAATAAACAAACAAACCTGGATTTGACTTTGATCATTCAAAGGATGAAAATACTAAATATTTATATTTTCATATATGACTAAGTTTAACTAAGGAAGTTGAGCTTATCACAGATTTCTTTTATAGAAATACAAAGTTTTTAACAAACTGAATACAAAACTATATATATATATATATATATATATATGTCATGCATTAAATTAATATATTTTTGAGTTATACAAAATTATAAGTTTATTACACACTGCAACATACAATTCATATGATGTAAAGAGAATATTTTTTTACTTGGGTTAAATACTAGTACCTTGCATATTTTTGAAATATACTACATTATATATGTAAAGAAGTGTTATGAAAATAGGCTACAGTGGTACAATCAGGTAAAATCTAAAACCATTTTGTAGTGATTTGTATTTTTTGCAAAATGAACAGCAGGAGTTCTGAAACAAATTGGTTTAGAAGGACTAGAAAAATGACTTCTTTATAAAGATATTTCTATCAATATAGTAAACATATTCCACTAGCAAATAAAGAAAAGGCAAAGTTTTAAAGTTAAAAAACTGATATTTTCTATCTTCTTTTGAGACAAATTCACTTAAACAACTCACTTTTTTTTACAATCAATCACATCTATGTTTAAATAACAAAAATAAATAAGCTGCAAGCTGTTTAATATCCAATTCAGAAAGACTAAAACTTGTTAGACCAGCTTACATTATATGACTAGAAATTTCCTAAAACATCCACATATAAGGTACATGTAAAACACATATAATAAAACACAGATATAAATACACACACACACATATATATATATATAAAGTACAAATTTAGCAATATTGATAATACTTGTCAAATAAAAAGTATATAAAAAAATCTTTAGAGATCAAAATAGCTCCTTTCATTGTATAAGTTTTCAAAACAAACATTTAACTAAAAAATGTGAAACAAGACAAAAAAAAAGCACCATAACAGCTTTAGATAAAAATTTGTTATGTAAAGTACCTGAGGACAACTTATTGGTTCAAAATACTGGCAAAAAATAAAAGAAAACTGCTTCATTTACACATTAATCACAATTTTTCCATATTGGCATAACATGGTATTAATTGTTTAGTGAATTTTTTTATTCTTTTCTTAATTATGGGGTCATTCAGAATTATCAGCCTTTTTTTACAGACATACAAAGTATATGACAAAAATGGAGGTCAGATCACTATATCCAAAAAAACAAATTGCTGAAAAACATTATTAATAAATTGAAACTGCAACTTCTGAAGAGAAACCCTATTACATATTATATCTACAAAGTTCAAGCACTCATACACAGTGTGGTAAACCAAAGATCTCTACAATTAGCAGAAAGTAAAAAGTCAAAAATTTTGCGACCTATGTATAAGATTTTGGTGAGCTTGCAGCTCTTCTGGATGGTGTGAAAATCTATAAATTACTGTGAAAGATTGCAGGGAGTTACATGCATCATTTATGTTAGATTACAGGTTTCTAAAAATAATTCAGCATTCATAAGTTTCATGAACAATAAATAGTAACCTTGCTCAAATTTAATCGGGAAGGATTCCATATGAGCCAACACACGTTTCTTACATATCCAAAATGGTAGTCATAAAGTCACATTATTTGTACACCCATGAAAATACTGATAATTGTAAATGACCTGTAAACCTATTTGCTTGAAAACCAAAACATGGTTTCCTTGCAATACATGATAATTATTAAAAGATAAATTCTAATTTACATCAGTCTACCCGTAATATAAACAAAGGATTCATTGGTACTGTCAACACTTACTTAAGAGTAACGTAAGTTATTTTAACAGAACTTTCACTTTAATATTCATATTATCAATATGCAAACAGAAAATAATGTCACAATTTTGAAGCAAATTGGATAATATAAAAAGCTACTGGTGTAATCATTTCAGGTTATTTTAGCAAGTGTAAATTCACTTTGTATAATAAGTTAACACCGTGCAAAATGTAAATACGAATGGAAGTGAAAAAATTAGATCTTGTTTTCATCAATCACACTAATTTCAAAAAAATGTTTTGTGAACTAAATCAAATTGGGTTTGCCTTCAAAATAGTAACAATCATCTTGTCCCAAATCCAAATAAATAATTCAGAGGAGTAAATATTATGGTATATTTTGTCAGAAATAAGATTTCTCAATTTATAGTTTTCTTTAGATCAAGATCTTTAGTTATAGTTGACACAATTATATTTAAAATATATCTCACAATACTTAAAAAAAATAAAAAACAGTGAAAACAGCACTATTAAAGCTTTCAGGATCCCTAAAAATGGCTCAGATACAATTGTTGAAAGCAAATAATCATACATTTAAAAAGAGCATATAAAAGTGTATGGCTGTAGATAATAGACAGACCACTTCTAAAATATTCATTTTTCCAAATTGATGTAATCACTATGGTCCCAACAATGCCATTAATGGTTTATTAAAACAGCAGTACAATGACAGTGAAGCCCAAAATTCAGACATAAGCTAGAGATTTAATCTTGAAAGAAGAGATCAATGACCTTTCTGGCTATGAGCATGTAGTGGTGAACACTGTTAGATACCGACAGCATTTTAAGATAGTTTCCAGAAGGCCACTACACAATGGCAGGCTCTGTAAAGAAATATGATTGGATTACAATTATTTATCAATGTATATCAATCATGCATATATGTAATAGAAAAAGAGAAATTTATAAAATGCTTCTGTATCAGCTACACTGGGATTACATTAACGCTGAAATAAATTTAAACCTTTTTCCTATAAATTACAACAAAAGTATCCATCTCCTGTGATGAGAAAAGTTTAAGTTAACCTATCAATATGAATTATTTCACGGACTTTAAAACAGTTAATTGTGTTGCACTCTTGGCTTCACTAAGAATGAAAGCTCTAAGCTACTTATCAAACCCACTGCGAAAAGTAATTGTTGAGCATTTCAGTCATGCTGAGAGATGCTCAACAATAACATATGGTAAATCTACATTTTTTATTCTTTAAGTTACCTCACATTTTCAAATGCGAATGATAGTGTGATTAATTCCTAACAATTTAGTGCAGAATATTCTGCTTGCAAAATAAAATTTGGCAACAACATTATTCATGTCTGTTCTCCCATCATTTTAAAAGTGAATGTTAAGCTTTGCCTGCATGCTCAGCTTTTCAAACAGGATATCAGAAATGTATTATTTAAACTCGCACATGGATCAGCAAACAAATTTTGATACACTGATAGAGAGACCTAATGACCACATTATTCTTCAAGAAACTATATTACAGATTAATTTACAAGTTATAAAAGGTTGTATATTTTAATATCCTTGATCACTTTAATTCAGTTTTACTTAGTATACTTGTATATACTTTTCTGTGTGTTTAAGTTCACACTATGAAATTTCAGCCAACAGCTATAATAAAACAAAACAAAAAACATTATCCCATACTACGGAACACAACACATAACATCACCAGCACAAAACTAGTGAATTTTTTAAAAATTCTCTTTCCACTAGTTGACTAATGGTGAAAAAAAAATAGAGATTATAAGGCTTAGGCTGAAGAAATTTGTTTGCACGCACCTTTGTTGAAAACAGTACATCACACCAATTAAACTAAATGCATTTTCCTAAGTTCATGATTGATTAGCTCTTTCTAAATACTTACCACCAATATTTTTATTTGCTTTTTAATTTATTTGAATGTACAATGCATTTAAATAGTACGAAAATACAAAGGATGACCAAATGGAATATAAGTACTGTATTTCCCAAACTCTTCTCTTTCTTAGTACTACTTAGAAAAAGAAGATAAAAAAAAGGCTCACCTCTGATTGTGGTGTTCATAGCAAAGTATGAATAATGCCCCTCATACAAACATCTGAACAGCAGAAAGTGGTACATAAAATGGGTTGTGTTTGTATTTTCACTCAGTAATCACACTGAAATTGCCATCCTGATATATTTTTAGTAATTACTTTAATTTTTACATGGCTATATAAAAAAAGGAATATTTGCAGAACACTGCTAGCTCACTTGCATTGCATTAGTGTGCTGCAATACTGACTTAGATTGATATTTTTGTTAGCACATGTATATATGTATTTAGAACAGAAGTTTCTTTGATAAGTATATATATGAGTAAGCTTATACAATTAAACTAAATTGATGAAAAAATTATTCACTTACTTGCCTGTCCAAGCATGATTTCTGACAATATGATCAAAGGTGATTTAAAAACAAATATGATTAAGAAATGACTGAATCTAATAATATGCTTAATGTTACTGTATATTACTCCAGTTGAACAGGTGTAACAAGGTGAAATCTTGTCATTGGTAAAACTAACAAAGTGTGTGTAATTTTATGTTTGGTAGATCTGATTGACAGTAGAAAAATCTAAAAGTAAGATTACATTTGAACAGGAGACAATTTCTTCTTATCAATCAAACTTGACTATAAGATTCATTTTTTCTTTATTTAAAATGTGCAAATGTTGTGGGTCCAGTTTTATTTTATTTGGTATTTCTATTATGAAAAAGATATTGTTACATAAATATCTGTAATATAAAGTACCTGGGTATAGTCTGCTATCTTGTTTTCATGTTGTAACTGAAACAACTTTCTAAAAACACATTAGTTCACTTGTAGCTTCTGTAGTTACATCCTGAAGGCAGCTCATAGATGAAAACATGTGCATTTTTTAAATAAATAAAATGAAACCACAGTTTTTATATTTGAAGAGATCATTAGATCTCTATTACACAGAAAACTATTCTCAGAAAGGTACTACATAAAGTAAAAGAAATATGTAATTTTACACAAATATGGCAAAACTTTGACATACATCGTAGTATTGCTACCTTACCTTATGCTACATTCTTCCAAGCACGCAGCTGTACATACTAAACTTCTTACAGCCTGAGTTACTATTCTCAGTTTTTTTTTTCCTTAAAATGTATAAACAATTTGAAGTTATAACACAGCTTACCACAAGAGGAATTGTTCTCCTGGCAATGTACTACACCCAGAAATCCTGGTCTAGATTTACCCGTTGATTCCTTCGGCATTGTAGCACTAGAAAAGTTGTCTTCTTCCTTAT